AATTAAATTCCGGCGTTGCATCTTTACGTTCTTAGGCTTTATCGTTGATTAAATTCCAGCACAGTTTGTGTATGTTTTGGCTCCGTCTAAATTGATTACGTTATCGAGCTTTGGCATCGATTAAATTCCAGCATGGTTTGTGTACATTTACTTTCGTTCGAAGCGAAATTATCGGTTCTCTTATCTACCTGTAATATTTCCTGTCTGGAGTCTCCACATAACCAGTCTTCTCTAATAAAAATCGAATGACGAATTTTGATGAAAGATATTTTGTTGTTAAATCCAATTCGAGCGAAACACCTTTTTGCCACGCCTGGTGGGACCAGTGTGGTCGATTTGAGGAAGCAGTACGTCGAGAACAAATCATCCAAAGCCTGATCATGCCGCGAGCAACAACCCGGGTGATACGGCAACCCAGTCCAAGGCCTCAATTGCTCCAGCAACAGAGCCGAGCCAAGGGGGCAACGTCGAAATCCTGCGGCACTTTATGGAGGAGAAGACGAGGGAGATTAGCACCAAACCCTACTTTGGTGGCTACCATGAAGAGGTTGTTCGAGGGACAATAGAATAAGATGACGAATCACATAGCAAGACATATTTTTGATGTAATTAAGTCGATGGTCGTCAATGCGATCAACAATGTCATCCTAGGCTTGGGACATATAATTAGTTCATACCGATCCAATAGAATACGACGTCTTACGGGTATGTTCCTTCAACTTTTAATTAATTGAACGGCGGAAATAATTTAGGCCAATTGATCCCACTACTAGTGAGAATTTTACAAAGGCCTGAAAATCCTATCTACTATGAGCTTAGGATGCAAGAAGGTCAAGTTTATCGACCTATCTACCCTTAACCTAGGGGGTAGGAAGGGTGTCGACTTACAAATCCTGATCAATTGATTAAACTCGTATTACAACAATTAGGTGCTGATAGAGGAATGGTCATGGTAGTATATAAGAAGCCACATCCTGATTGGGTTGACATTTTACCTTACCCAAGAAAATTCAAAATTGTTGACTTTGTTGTTTTCGCTGGCGAAGAAGACTAGTCGACCATTGAACGCATTGGTCGATTTATGGCCCAATGCGGAGAGGCGGGACAAAATGAATTCCTGAGACTTAAGTTGTTCCCTTTGTCTTTTTATTTGATATACGAATTTATCTCCTAATTCAATCCATACTTGGGCTAATATGGAAAGACAATTCTATTCTCAATTTTATAGAATAATGCCTGAAGTATCAATTGCTAATTTGGCCAGAATTCATCGATGCGATAATGAATCAATCCTTCAGTTTGTTGCTTGATTCAAGAGGGCTAGGAATACATGCCTTACTTCACTCTCAGACAATGAATTCACAAATTTGGGTTTCAGTAGATTGAAATTTAATCCTAGAGAAAAATTCGAAGCCAAAATTTGCCGATTTATTTCAATTGGCAATGAGAGTGTCTACGTATGAGCAATTACTTAAGGACAAAGATAAATGGCCACATGAAGACTTTACACAAAATGTGCCTTCGTGGAAGAATAAAAGTCATATGATGAATCTGACCAAAATATAATTCGGCAAGAAAAAACCAAATTTGCCGATGACAAGGGAACACATGATGACCCTTTATTATCTAATTTAAAATAATCGAATGATCCATGAATCATTCAACTCTTTTAATGGGGCATTTGTTTGCACCAAAAAATGACTAATTTTTGGTTATTGTCGACGGGTGATAGACTTAGTCGATGATAACAAAATTTGGTCATATATGAACATAATTATCGACAACTTGAACAATCGACAACCAAAAGGAATTGATAAAATGTGGAGTTGACAATCTCGAATCCAACCGTCAACGTAGCGGAATAAAGCAACCATCAAAATAGTGGATTGAAGAAACTTTATAGGTAGTGGAGTAAATGTAACCATCGATGTAATTTTTCAGTAACCGTTTGTATTCTCCCCTTGTAACCTCCGTTGATAACCCTCAAATGTAGGTTTTAAATAGCTACATTGTACTCTTTGGAGCCCCCTCCTCCCCATGCGCGCACACACACACAAATAAACAAACATGTTATCTTTCAATCTTGCACAGTAGTTATAATTTTCAAACTCGCGTCGTCGATTAAATTCCAGCGATGCATATTTGTGTTCTCAAGTTTTGTCGTTGATTAAATTCCGGCACAGTTTGTATTTGTTTGGTTCCGTCTGAAGTGATTATGGTCAAAATCTTTGTCGTCGACTAAATTTCGACACGATTTATGTACGTTTACTTCTGTTTGAAGTGAAGTTATCGGTTCTCTTGTTTACCTGTGATATTTTTTGTCTGGAGTCACTATAGAACCTTCCTCCTCTTATAAAAATCGAAGAACGACTCTCGGTGAAAGATATTTCATCGTCAAATCCAATTCGAGAGGGCAGATTCTTTTTCATGGATTGACAAAAGGCAAATTTACGAAAATAAAAATCTTGACAAACCCTAAAGTGATGTGAATTCAAGCGAATGGTAGCATTTTAACCAAAGTACAAACATCTTGCACATGAAATAACCCGAATTTCACACGTTACCACAAATTGTCAAGCTCTATCTAACTTGTGTGTCTCTCTCTCTCGTGTTGGAGAAGGTGGAGGAGAGACTAGGCTCATAACACAAGTGCGATCCTCCTACGTCAATAATTGGATCATTTATTCGGATTTATGCTGATAACACAAGTTTTTTTCCTCCTTAAAAAAAATATGGAGATAAAATAGGATGTTGTATAAGATGACGAAACCCAACTCTCTTATCTTAACTTGGATTATGTAGATGCTACCATATTTTCCTCAGTATCATTTCGTGTTGAACAAGGTATATGAGTATCTTGTAACATCCAACTACTTTGAAATGTGGTAGATCCCCGTCGAATAATCATATATTATAGCAAAATGACCTTAATTTAAGGTAGTTTGAAGGAAGTTATCTTTTTCGAATGACTTTTCCTTAGCAAGATAGAATCTTGGCTGGTTAAATTCTTTTGAGTACTATAATCTTGTGTGCACGATCATAGGCACTGAACAAAATATGAACACGATTGCCATCTACACAAGACTAGCTAGAAAGAAAACTCTATTTCACACGTAAAAAAAGAAAGTTTGAAGTTCTTGATTGGTTGAAAGTCATATCTTACAACTATTGATGGAGTGTCATATCTGGGCACTTGATTGCATGCGTCAGAGGTCACGAGCGCCGACGACAAACGACAATTTAAGGCTTTGACGTTTAATCATTCGCCTCTTCTTTCCTCAACAGTCCTCTGTGCCTGTTTGTCTCCCTGCCGCCATCGAGCCATCGAGCCATCTCCGGTCCAGTCACGTTTCTGAAGGCAGAGGAACAGACTCATTCTCACTTTTTGTTTACGGATTCAAACCTCTCAAACTTAAGGATAACTAGACCTAATCCGAATAAATGAATTGACCAAAATTCCCTTGGACTTTACCGATAAATTTACCCTAAAGTCTAAAAATCCTAAATTGTGCGCTTGTACTCTCTCTCGATCTTTCGATACCGTCTCCCTTCCCTCGGTCTATGTCACCACTGCATTAGCTAGACCCCGTGTTGCATTGCCTTGCCGCTGCTATCGTTGCACCCTTGTCGTGAAGGCCAGGGAACTCGCAACCGTAACCATCATGTGAACGACCGCTCCAACATTAGGTGACCCCAAAATTGGTGAGGTTTGAGGCTTGGGACCTCGGATCTTAAGTCATGACCTCTCGTGATGGACACTTGATCATAATTGTAATAAGAAAGCAAAAAGGATTGTGCTGTTTACAAATGCAAGTCATTCAAGAAGTACTTCTTACTCCAATCTTTGAAGATTGTTTGACATGTGCATACATGAATAAATATCTGAAACAAACATACTTATGAAAGATCCATCGACTCGTATAATAATATCTTTACACAAAGAACATATGCAATGTAACTATACAAATATCTCACACATGCAATCCTAGAGATAAGGATAAATCGGTATTACAATCATTGTCCGGCGTCCATATTGATGCCAAAACTATCATTAAAATGGTACAACTTTTAGAGTGACCATATAAGTAACTCCAATAACTTAGTTTACTTGGAATTTGATGTAGCTCGTCAAAATTACTTTAACAGACAGTTTTAAAAATTGCCTTTATAAAGATTGTTCATAAAGTTTAGACACTAAATTGATCATTTATAATTTTTTGGTCAAACTTTTTAGTATTAGAAATTTGAAAGAACAACATTGTGACCCAAAAGAAAAAATCACAAACCAAACATTTTGGCTTTGCTAGTTATTTCTTTTTAGGAAAGAAACTATAAAAAAATCTCAATTATGTTTACTGTGACACATTTACGCTGAATTTTTTTTGTGACATCAAAACCTCAAATTATACCCGTTGTGATATATTTACCCTAAACTTTTTTTGTGGCATAAAAAACCCCGAATTCGTACTTATGTGACACATTTACCCTCTATCAAGATTTCGTTAAATGATTTTGCAGCCAAAACAACAGTTGTTTTTATTTCACTTAAGTTCACGTAGGCGGATTTTTGATAGTTCTCATTGATAGAACTTTGACGGAGGGTAAATGCGTCACACATGTATAACTTTGTGAAAAGTTTAGGTAAATGTGTCGCAATGATCATAGTTTAGGGTTTTTGGTGACTTTTTGTCTTCTTTTTTTTTTTTTTGTAAGAAACAACCAGCAATTGCAATTTACCTGTCAATCGAGTATAAAAATAAAAAAATAATTATAGAATACGAATTTTTATTACTGGTTGAACAGTACTGGCCGAAAATAATATTTATTTTATAAAATAAAATAAAATCCTTAAAAAGTGGAGGCCCAGATAACCAGTATATTTGACCAAAAAAAGAAAACCACTATATAAACCAGCACTCTCGTCACTCGTGCTCATTTCTAAGCTCTCCTACCGAAAGAAACTCAGAGCTCTCTGAGCCCAGAGCTCTCCTGAAAAATCAATGGAAGCCAACCCGTTCGACTCTCCTGCTCATTCCTCAAACTCACTCGCCGGGAATAATGCACAACACAAACGAAGAGCCTCCTCTTCCGACATCAGCTCCCTCTACTCACTTCGCAAGAAGATGAACGCCATGACACCGAAGCGGCCTTGCAAGAAGATGCACATCGCGCCGATGCCACCCGTCCCGAAGCGGGTGTACACGGTGGACTCTGCCGACTTCAAGGCTGTCGTCCAGGAGCTGACTGGCGCACCCGCAATGGCCGCGGCGCCGGCACCGGCACCAGCACCTCCCAGCATACTTCCTGGTGCCAACTGCCGTCTCGCCGCAGCAGCGACCCCTCCAAATGATGAAGATGATCACATGAGCAGGCCTTTTTCTGCTGTGAATCCAGGTTTGATGTCCGAAGCATGGATGGAATATGCAAGTGAAGATTCTCACGAAGTATCAACAGATCAGAGCTCCGGGACAGCTAATAGCGATCCGTTTGGGTTTAGTGCTGTGGCTTCTAGTCATGGTTGGTGTTCGGTTGATTACCACGTTCTGAGTCCTGGGACTATGGCGAGTTTCGACCCAATAAACTCAGTCCTCTATAATTAGTTTTTTTCCCCTTTTTTTCCTCGTTTTGCAGCTGGGTTGCTGCAGTACTTAATAGGGAAAAAAATATTTGCAGGGTCATTCTCTGCAGTTCTTTTGTTTTTTTTGTCTTCCTTGAAGGTTGAGATATGGTTAATGGAATCTTAAATAACTCTTTCTTCTGTGGAAAAGAATAAAATGATCTTTCTTCTTTTAATTGCAATCGCCCTTTGATGAGTCCAAAAGAAGATGTATTAGAAGCTTCGGAGGCTAAAAGAAGGAGGCAAAATCTCTAGTCGCCCCTCTCTCTCAAGAAGTTATTAGTGCATCTGTTCGATACATGTGAACAGTTAGATTTCGTGGGATTCACGTCAGACCCACGTCATAGAATGGTTGAGATTTCCCTCTCCCTCTTAGATGACTGAGTTGTCCACATCATCTTCACCTATGCAAATCTGGTCGAGACATCATCGGTCATTGACGTGTGATAGTCACTTGTGCAACGCTGGCCATCGACTATGACTCTATCTCTCTCTCTCTCTCTCTCTCTCTCAAATGGTTCTTGAGTATTGTAATCTGTAAACAAAGAGCTTAAGAGTAATAGAGGTGATTGTGTTTTAGTAGAGATATCCGCTAGCTTCAAATACAAGTAGCACCTGCTACTATCTGTAACTTCCTAAAGTGGATTCAACTTGATTCTCGGTTATTAGTTCATAAGAGTGGATGTAGGCTTGGTTATAAGTCAAAAATTTGTATAATTGCCTGCAAAGTCTCTTATCTCTTTAAATCATTCTTCTACGTATTTGATAGAAGCATAAATTACCAATTTAATCGTTTCTGCTTCTATTGAAGTATCCTTGCAACCATTCCACAGAAAGTTATAAATTTTATTTAAAAATAACCTATTCTCCCCCTTTAAATTGTGGTGTGAGGCCTAAAGCTTTCTCTTGCACCCTCAAAGAGTTAACTTCCTCATCAGCAGGAGGCTCGTCTTTTCTCTGCCACATGAAAGATAATCAGATTCATGTGGTCCATCTTTGGCATAAGGGCACCAAAGATCTCAGAAGTTATTGGGCTAGTTCCTGCTCGGCAGTACTTTTCATTTCTCCCCTCTAACTTCCGACAACTAGAGGTACTTGACTCTCAGGCATCTGGTTTTGGCTCACCCTCTTCCTCCCTTAGAGGATCCAAAATTGGCAACTGCGATGCGAGGTAGACGGGTCACGTGCGTTCCTAGTTCTCCTAGCCCTAGCAATGGATTCTTGCGAGTTTCTCACTCGACACTTATGCTACATTTGATAGTCGGGATAAAATTCAGAATATAATAAATTTTATCTTATCTCGTGTTTGGTGCTTGCTGAAGACAGGATAAAGTCGGATATAAGAGAGGGATATAGCTCGGATAAAATTATCCCTTGGGGGAGATGAAATAAATATGGATAGGATTTCTAATATCTATAATATAAAAAGTTATTTTTCTCGAATAACAAACTTGTTAAATTAACAAATTTAAAATAATATTTGAATGTAAATCATATTTAAAGTTTAATATAAAAAAATTCAAAATAACAAAAAAATAACAATAATTTCATTGTTATTTATTCTTATTTTTATTTATATATTCAAATTTCTTTCTATCTTATGATATTAATCTCATATATATATAAATAAATACATTTAGTATTTATATTTATTACATATTTTAGGTATATTAGTATAGTTTACTGTTTAATAAAATTTTATTAGAGAATGATGATGGAAGGGGAAAAGAGAAATAAAAAAAGAAAATAAATAAAAAAATAAGTAAATAAAAATAAAGTATGTGAGAGTGCTGCGAGAGATTTTTATTATCTCCGTTCGTCCAGTTTTTATGTTCATTTACATTAATATAACGTTTATAGCAAATAATGGACATGGTAAGATGTGAAAATATCCGACTTTATCGTTGCGACTCATCAAACAGTAGATAGGATATAACAAATCTATTGAATTTCATATCGTATCCTTTACTATCCAATCCTATCATGACTAGAAATTCGGACGACCAAACGCAGCCTTAGAGATTGAAGGGACATGATGTTTCTTATGTTCCCATAGATGGGCCAACTTTTTAACACGCTACCTTCCTCGTGTGGATCCCAAGTTCAACAAGCTCGTAGCTCCATGTGCCCTGCACATCACAAGCCAGAAAGTCCCCTAGGGAGGACGAGGAGGAGGAGCACGAGCCTAAGAATGACGAACGATAGTAATAGAGTAACGGCAAAACGCGTGCGAAAATTTAATAGCTCAGATGGTTGTATCTGGGCTTATTTATACTTACTTTGTTTCTGGGCCTTTGGTTCATGAACCAGCCTTCCTCATTTCATTGGCCTTACTAGCGAGCCAGGTCAATGGGCTCACTTTTGACTGTTGTTGGGCTTTATGCAAGATTGGTGTTATCACCGTTAAATGGTGGATATATTAGACAGATAAATAAGGGGAAAAGTATAAAAAAAGGGCCTAATTCCCTAAAAAATCCTAAACTTTAAGTCTAGACCCAAATCTGCCCCAAACTTTTTTTTGCTACATAAAAAACCACCAACTTTGTATGGATTCCCAAATCTGCCCTCCGTTACATTTCCATCCGATCTACATCGTTAAGTCCACTGTTGTGCCACGTGTCAATCTGTCTTCTTTTATTTGACTTTTTCTCTCTCCTCACTATCTCCCAAGTCCACCTTTTTCATAATTCTCGCTCTTTGTCACTCTCTTTCTCTCTGTCCCACATTAACGACGTCGAAGGTGATGACCCCAACGACGTCGTCGAGAGCGAATCGGGATCTGCAGCTCCAGTCGTCTATATCATCCTCCCTCTCCGCTCTGATCTCCGATCTCCAGGACCACCACAACGGCAGCCACGCCGCCGCCGCCGCCGATAGCTCCGGCGCTGTCACCATGGACTACCTCCTCAAGAACATCTACTCCGACGACAGTCCCGCCACTGCCGACCCCTCGCTATTCAACCACGGCGGGGTGTCACTGCCGGGCGGGGGCGGCGCCAGAGTCGGGACGACGGTGGATGAGGTGTGGAAAGAGATCGTGGCGGGGAGCGACCGGGCAAGCGGCATGTTAGAGGAGGAGCTGACTCTAGATGATTTCCTGATGAAGAACGAGGCTGTGAGGGAAGAGGACGTGAGGATTGGTGGTGGTGGTGGTGGTGGGGGAGCAGGGGGTTACTGCGGGGACGCGGCGGGGGATTTGAACGGGCATTTGATTCAGGTGGGGGGGACGGTGGGCGTGGGCGTGGGCGACGGCGTTAGTAACAACAATGGCGGAATTGTGGGGAGATTGATGGTCGGGAGAGGGAAGAGGAGGGCCGTGGAGGAGCCGGTGGATAAGGCCACGCAGCAGAAGCAGAGGAGGATTGTCGACGAGGTCCCGAGAACGCAAGCAGGTAATTTCATTTGGTCTTCTCTGTGTGTCATGAGCTCTCTCTCTCTCCCCTACAACACCCAGATCTGCCCTTGCTCGACAAGCTTCCACACCTTTTGGTCATGGAGGAGGGAATCCAGACTCCCAGCATCGTCATCGTCGGCAACCGGTCTTCCGACAAGTCGAGTGTCCTCGAGTCCTTCGCTAGCATCAACCTGCCATGAGGGCCTTGTACAGGGTGCGGACCACCATACGATTTGTGGACTCATGGTCCTCCGGATGCTGAAGAAGAAAATGAAAATTTTCTGCTAACCTTTGCTTTGGGTTCGATGGAGAGAGAGAGAAGATGGAGAGTTCCAACAGTCAATGATGTGGAACTTGGGCGAGGGTGGGGGGAGAGAAAATGAAAAGGAAAAAAACGAATAAGAAAGTTAGACAGGTACGTGGACTTTAACGTGTACATTGGACGGAAACCTAACGATGGGGTAGGTTTGGGAACTCATTAGAAGTTTGTGGTTTTTTAAGGGACAAAAAAGAGTTTGGGGTAGATTTGGATTTGAACCTAAAGTTGGGGGTTTTTTAGGGAATTAGGCCAAAAAGTCCTAAACCTTTGATATTGATGTCAATTTAGTCTTAAACCTTTTTTTTTGGCGCCAATTTAATCCTAAAATTTTTGTATTGATGCCAATTTATTCCTAAACTTTTTTCTTATGCCAATTCTGTCCTAAACTTTTTGCATTAGTGCCAATTTATTCCTAAATCTTTTGTCTTTATGCCAATTCAGTCCTTTCGATCAATTTTGGTCGGATTTTGCTGACGTAGACGCCAACCGGCCGGTAACCGGTCACCGGCATTGACGTGGACAACTTTTAATAATATTTTAATATTTTTTTGAATTTTTATTTATTTATTTTTTCTTTTTTTTTCCCTCCCCTCCCTCCTTCCTCCAGTCGGTCGCCGAACCGACGACTAGCCATTAGCGAGGCTCGCCCTTGCCAGCGATGGCAAAGGTGAGCCTCGCCATGTCTAGGCGAGGCACGACCTCGCCGGAGGCTGCGAGGTCGAAGGCCTTTGGCACGGCCTTCGGCGAAGGCTTGAGCCTCGCTCGCCAAGCGTGAGGCCGCCCTCGGGCCATTTGGCGACAGCGAGCCTCGCCAGTGGCCGGCGAGGCGACCTCGCAGCCATCCAGTGAGGGCGAGCCTCGTCGGCCTCTGGCCTTTGGCCGTCAACAAAATTAGCTCAAAATTGGCCGAAAGGACTGAATTGACACAAAGACAAAAAATTTAGGACTGAATTTGCACAAATACAAAAAGTTTAGGACTGAATTGGGACCAAAAAAATGTTTAGGACTAAATCGGCACAAATGCAAAAGGTTTAGGACTGAATTGATACAAAAAAAGGTTTAAGATTAAATTGGCGCCAATTCAAAAGGTTTAGGACTTTTTTGACACTTTTCCCAATAAATAAGGATAAAAATCACAAAAAAACCTCGCTTATGATTGCTGTGACATATTTATCATAAATTATTTTTTGTGACGCCAATCATCTTAACGTTGTAGCTGTGTAATGCAGAACCGTTTAAAATCTACCTACGTGGACGCCAAAAAGCAAACAATATTCACACAATTTAAGTGAAATAAAAACAACAGTATTTTGATTGAAAAGTTATCTAACTGAATATTAACGGAGGGCAAATGTGTTACATAGATAGTTTGGGCCTTTTTATATCGCAAGAAAAAAGTTCAGAATAAATGTATTACAGTGGGTATAGTTTATGATTTTTGATATCACAAAAAAACCGTTCAGGATAAATGCGTCGACGTGGGTTTAGTTTTGAGTTTTTTTTTCTTGTGGCTTTTTCCCGATAAATAATTTGAAAATAGATAATGAATTTTCATACCGCTGGACATGGATATTGATTCTATCCTCGCAACCTCCTCCGGATACGAACGACGCACGAAATCGGCAACAGAAAAATCACGCCCCGTAAAAACGGCGTCGTTTCGAAAGGAAACTATTACGATATTACGCGTCCGATGTCGAACCCCAAAGCTGAACGAAACCCCGCAAAAGTCATGATTGCTTTGCTGAGTTCGTGACTCGGTGAAACCACCGAAGCGCCCCCAACTCGATCGCCGCCGCCGCCGCCGCCGTCGCCGTCGGACTCGCCGCCGCCGCCGAATCGCCGCCCCCGACTCGGCGACCATGTCGTGGCTGGCTAGATCCATCGCCAACTCCCTCAAGCTCGACGACGGCGACGACGAGGGCGACGACGATCGGAGCCCTCGCGCCGCCGGGCCCGATCCCTCTCCCCTGCCGAAATCGGCCGCCGAGCCGCCGTCGGGTTCGCCGCCCTCCCCGTCCGGCGAGTCCCCTAGGGGGGTCAAGGAAGACCTCTCGGAGCTCAAGAAGACCCTGACCCGGCAGCTCTGGGGCGTCGCCTCCTTCCTCGCGCCCCCGCCGGATCCTTCCCCGCCTTCCCCGGCGCGGCGGACCGCAGATCCCGATCGGAGCTCCACTCCGCCGCCGCCGCCGCCGCCGCCCGGTGGGCCGGCTCCGCCTCGGGAGCCGTCCGATCAGGAGGATCCCGACGATGAGGCGCTGATCGCCGGGATACGAAGCGATTTCGCGGAGATTGGCGGCAGGTTCAGGAGCGGGATCTCCAAATTGTCGAGCAACAAGACCGTGTGGGAGTTCACTAAGATCGCTTCCAATTTCCTGCAGCTCGGGCCGGAGGGGGATTCGGTGGATAAGGATTTGGTGGGAAATGCGGTTGGAGTGACGGAGGAGGTCTTAGCTTTCGCGAGGAACATCGCAATGCATCCCGAGACCTGGCTTGATTTCCCTCTACCGAACCATGAAGATGGTTATTCTGATGGTATAGTTGCTTTTCGATTCTATGGAGTTAATTTGTTATTGTGGGTCACGGAATCAGTCGTTCCTGCATCAGTGTTGTATTGCTGTTTGGTGGGTACAACGTGCTTTCAATTCAAATCTTCGATTTAGTGGAGTTTGATTTAGGTGTTTGACTGTGTTGTCAGTTAAATTGGTCGCATTGGCTTTATCTTTATTTGTGGGTTTTTGCTGGAGTTTATGTTTCTGGCGATTTTATCACATTTTGTTAGTGAAAAGGTAGTGGATACTGAGTTTGTTTTCATGACTATGATGAGTTGGGCTATGACTGGACTATAGAACATTGTAGGGTCGGTCGACAGCACTTTGTTCTTCAGAGTAAGAAAAAGAACATCTGTGTTTTCAAAAGATCACTTTCTATCGCTTGACACCAGGAAAGAGTACTGGAAGTCGCAGAGGATTATAATGGAAACGGTTTCCTATCGTTTTGTAGCCCAATCTTCTTTGACAACCCATTCAGCTAGTAGTGGATGATGATTGATGTCAACGGTAGCATGCGTTAGTAATGCATGCACTAACTGCTTTAACTCCTTCCTTGGGAGTAATCCAGATGAAAGTAGTTTTACAAGATTTTCAAATTTGTGTTTTTGAAGTGTTTGTTTAAATCAGTACAATTTTAAGTTGTAGAAGCCTTCCGTTGGAGGATGGACGAGCATCATTTTACTTTGTGAGTAATCATGAGAACTCGGTTAACTTTTTTCTTGCTTTGGCTATAATCAATTGAGGTAGGCTTGAGGAGACACAAACACGTGGCAAGTAATGGGGTAAACCATTATTTTCAGTCTGATTTTAATTTTCATTATACATATCATATTGTGGCGTTATCTTGGTCGCAGTTGTGAGTTATTTCAGTCTGCTGGGCTTGTTTTGATCTTCATTCTTTTGCCAGATTTGTAATTACTGCATATAGTCATGTTGAAGCTTGATTGTAGATTGATAGTTTGGAATCAGTAGCCTCCTTGGCCCTCTTTACTTATGATGGACATAACATTCTATAGTATTGTTGATGTAGCCACATATCTTTAACAATAACTAGTTTGATTTACATAGGCAGAGTCCACGGGAAATTCTCCTTCTCTATCTCTCTCTCTCTCTCTCTCTCTCTCTCTCTCTCTCTATGTCACATACACAAGCACAGTCTTCCTAGAATAATTGATTTGGTTTATAATTTTATATGCTTGGTGTATACCAGTTAAATATGTTATTCTCTCTGTTCGGATTAGATTTTTTTTCAAAGAAGCTTATCTTTAGGAGTTCTGCATTAATGGAACTACCTAAATTGCTTCTGTAGAATTCGAACTGTCTGATGCGCAAGAAGAGCATGCTTTAGCTATTGAACGGCTTGCTCCAAGATTAGCTGCTCTTAGGATGGAACTCTGCTCAGAATACATGAGCGACGGTTGTTTCTGGAAGATTTACTTTGTTCTTTTGCATCCCAGACTCAACAAACAAGAAGCTGAACTACTTTCAACACCACAAGTGAGTAGTTTCACGCATTAAAGTATTTTGTGAAGTACATAATACTTATTGATTGATGGTTATGGTTCTCTCTTATGAAGAAAGTGAGTTATGCATGATCTGTTGTGGAAATGGGTCACCCACTCGGCTACAGAGGTTGCCTTTTGTGAGCGCATATATATTTCCAATCATGATCTGGCTTTCTTAGGGCAATGTCCCACCACTTTTATGTAATGGTTGCGATGCTGTATTGCATTATAGATCCCAAATTATTATATATATATATATATATATATATATATATATATATATATATATATATATATATATATATAGTTTCTCTATTACATGATAAATGTGATCAAAGTGTTCATTGACATTACAACAATGTCTATTTATTTTAGGTGCATTTGATGCTTCATGGATCAGGTAGCCATGAAATTGCATGTCATCCTGGTCCTAGTAGCTAATCCACGTCAAATGATGACAACTAATATAAGTCACTAGTGTTGAGCATGCGCTATGCCTGTTTGCAAAGTTGAATAGATATGTAAGAAAAAAAGAGATTGAGAGTTACCTTAGAAAAGAAAAAGGGCAGTTATTCTTTGAGGGGAGAAAATTGGTGAAGGATTGTTAATTTTTTGAGTGGAGCAAGTGGGTGGTGCTTGGGTGGTGGATGGAATTTAATTGTTAGTCTTTTCATATTATATCATGACGGGTAATTTTGGAAGAATAAAAGTGTTGTGAGATGAAATGTGTTTTAACTTAAATATACAGATAGTTCATATATTTTTGACCTCAATTCCTTTAATTTCAGATGTTACCCTTCATATAGTCTTCCAGCCAGAATTAG